GATATACAGACCAGATCTCTGAGGAGCTCGGTGGAGCCCTCCTCGGCAACAGGCCACGCCCCCAGGAAGCCTAAAGTGCTGCCTATTCCTGTCAGCTTGATGTCATTTGTAGATTTGATGAGTTACCCTTCTATCCTCTCATCGAAATCGCTTATGAAAATGTTGGAGAATACTGGGTCTAAGACAGAACCTTAAATCTAGTTCCATTGAGGATGGCATGTTGAATGTGGTTGGTTAGTCAATTATGAATCCATCAGGCGGATGCTATTAATCCCTCATTTTTCTATTTTACCAAGAAGTAGGTTGTGGTCTACTTTGTCAAGTGCTTTACTGAAGTCCAAGTATACTATGGCTGTAGCATTGTGTTAGTCCTCTAATTAATTATTTTGTTAAATAATGCACTAAAATTTGTCTGGCATTATCTCTTTTTCACAAACTCATGTTGGCTTCCAGTAATAGCTTTGCTGGCTTTTAAGTATTTGATTATTTTTTCCAGAATCTTCCAGGTATTGATGTCAGACTGATTGATCCATACCTTACAAGTAGCAAAGTGAAATTAAGTGATGATAAGGCGTTGGATCAAAGTGGACAATTCCTGCATATCACTTACATATATCTGGCACAGGGAGATGGGCAACTTGGGCACTCCTCACAGAGAGGGGGCTGATAGCGTCCATTACACTTGCATGTATTGCACTGACATTGCCCACGGAGACTGCACACGTTCCCATTCTTATTCTTGCATTTTTCTGTTGAAGATTGGCACTGACAGGCAGTGCCATCATATTGTGCAGTACACTTACATTTCCCACAGTCACAAGAACCTCTATCTGAAAAGAGAAACTGGAGAGGTTAGGACCAAAAGCATTTCTTTGCATCTTCATTGACATATAACACTCACATTATCTAGAAAGGATTATTAAATTAAAATGCAGACCAGCAGTTTGCGGCAGATGGCCAACCATTCCCAAGTGGCACACTGCAAGTACAGAAGCCCTGGAATTTTGGGCATTATATGAAAAACACTGCAGTGACCCTCAATGCAAGAACAGCTTGTCCTTGGCAAATTGGATGTTCAAAAACTGAGTTAAGCAATATTCTAAAGGAAATGGTCAATATTTAATTACAGAAACACAACAATTCATCCCAGGTATATGGTTATCAGCTGATTTACTTCCCAATTATACAGTGTGGATCAAAGTGTTATTTATACAGCTCTTTGTAAAATGCAGAAAAATAACATGGGAATCATGTTTACAGCTTATAGTAAAAATGTCTGGAATAATAGTATCAAAGGCAAGAGGAGATAAATTTGGCATTTTCATATTCAGCTTTCATCAGTCACTTACCTTTCCCTCCACACACTTGACCATTGTGAAGTTCACAGTTTATGTTATCACATTCACAGAAGGGACCATAAATATGCTTCTGGGTATCTGCCATAGTATGGCAAATACATTGTCCACATACACAATCTCCCAAGCCAGAACAAATGACTGAAGAATTGTCCTTTCGACAACTTTTTTCCAGTTCCTTGCTGGTTTTACCTCCAGTTTTACAATCACAATTCTTTCCAACATAGCCAGCATTGCACCTGGCATAAGAGAAGAAATATTCAACATCAAAGAATAGCGTTAGGAAGCAACATTAGCATGATCGTCCTTATTTTCAACTACAGTTTCCTTTACCTATATTTATAATCTGTTACTATACAGTCTACATCCATATATACTCATCAAAGAAGGATTCCCACTGGATTTTACTTCTGGATGGAGAGGCATAGAATTACATAACGAATTTCTTTTTAGACCAGCCCATAGATGCCTCTGCTGCTCAGATTACATAATTCTCCTCAGGTTAGTAAACTGCTATTTGAATTCACTTGCAACAATCACAAAGGCTTTAGGCAAGTATTACATTTCTAAATATATACAATCAGACTTTTTTATTTCCACTTTGTTTCAGAAGTTTATGTTTTACATTTTTAAAAAGTTTCTGTATAGTATGTATGTGTTAAAAAATAAAAAAAATACCCAGAAGATTTGTGAATTTGATAAAAAAAATAATTCAGTGTGAAATACTTGCTAGGCAGGTACTCAGAGAGCCAGTTTGATGTAATGGTTAAGGCAGTGTTTCTCAACCTTGGCGACTTTAAGTCCTGGGGACTTCAACTCCCAGAATTCCCCAGCCAGCTGTACTGGTTGTTTCCCAAGGTTGAGAAACACTGGGTTAAGGCATTAGTCTAGAAACTGGGAGACCATGAGTCCTCCCAAAAATGTTTTTTATTACTATTTATTGTTCTCAAGTTAAGTTCCTTGCCTTGAAAAATTCAAGCAGGCATTTCTTTTTTCTATGAGAACAGTTTTTTTTATAGACAAACTGCATAAAAATATAGTCCTTAAATTACAATAACTTTCAGCGACCATTCAAAGTTACCATGGCACTGAACAAGAGGTACTTAAAACTGTTTCTTGAGGTTATGGCCATTACAGCACCTCCCCCACCCAATAATCATATGATCACCATTTGCAACTTTCCTTGCTGGCTTCCCACAACAGGTTAGTGAGGAGGGAAGGTTGCAACTTACTCTCACAAGTTCCTCCTGTCACTTTTCTCCCCCTGAGGAGCTCTTATGTTTGAGAGGTTTGAGATACTCCATAGCAATAAAAGACAATATGTGTACATCAGCGTAGATCTGTGAGGTATCTGGTGCTCTCTGGACTTGGTTTTCTTACAGACGTTTCATTACTAAATGTCTGCTTGAAGGTAACATCAGTACCAGAAGGGAGTGGGGTTTGCTCTCTTTTATGCACTAGTGGCTTGCTTTGTCTGTGTTGGTACTTACCTCCCAACGACCAACAAGATCGCACAGGTTGGGCCTCCTCCGGGTGCTGTCGACTGGACAATGCCGGCTGGCGGCCCCCCGGGGGAGCGCCTTCTCTGTAGCTGCGCCAGCCCTGTGGAACGATCTACCCATAGAGAT